CTTCCGCATTCAGTATGTTATGATATCACATGTTGATTCATCCTGCCAGTTGGTTCGCTCGGTCACATGTAGTCAGGCACCGAGTGTCGTGTTACGTCCAGGCCCAGGTTCGGGGCGTGACACTTTCTCTTTTTTTTTCAAGATTTCGGTAGAGTTTCAGATTTCAAATACCTACCTCTAACTCTTTTTTTTTTGTTTTCTTCTTTTTTCTTCTTTCCCTATTCTAGAAGCCAGTCAACATGCAAGTCGAAACAAATATATGCACAAGTAGCACGTAAAATGCATCAGGATGGTCTTATTATTTCGGGTATACCTGCCCTAGACGGACCCAACCCCTGTGTTGAGTCCCCAAAGTCAAATGCATATGATTCAAACAAGCGTTCCTACTAGGGATCTGGCATGAGGCTATGTTATTCTAGGTTTAAAACCTGGGTGTATTATTCTAGACCTGGCTTACCGGAGTGGACAACTCGAGGCCGGGGGGGGGGGGGGTAGGGGGAGGGCAACATGCCGGTAACCAATAGATCATCCAGCTTTTTAACTGATCCGATCCTCGTTCTAAATTAGGGTATGACACTAATAGAAAAGAACTCACGCCAGTGTGCACTTCCCAGAAGATTTAGAAGACTCAAAAAGAAGAAGGGTTTCGTAACAATTTTATATACAGTTCACAGAATATCAAAGCGGTAAAAAGCGGCAATTAGCATTAGGCTCAAACACGTAAAATTTAGATAATAAACGAAAGCCAAGTATAACAGTTATTCTAAGCTCAAATTCTGAACCCTGAACCAGAAGTTCTGGGTTCTTAGCCCCAGCAGAGTCGCTAGAGCTGTCACACCTCCTTTTCCCCGAGAGTAATATAGTTTTTCCAATTTAAGTGACATTAATCGAAATAGGATTATTTATTTTAATTTTAGAGTCGCCACTTGGGATATTTATGGTGTCCCAAGTCACTGGTTTATTTTAAATTCCAAATCGAGGAAATTGACTCTATTTTTGGCTCGTGAACCCAGAAGACCAGGTAAGGAATTCTGTTAACCCGGAAAAAGGTGTGAGGCACTCCCGAGTTCCATGGTGTTAGCACAGTCGCTCAACTCTTAATAATTGACCTAATTATCTGTTTTATTACATGTTTTAAACCTATTGTGCATTTCTAACTTTCTAACCACTTTTAAAGGAATTTGAATTGCTTTTAGGATTTATGGAATTTGTTTGAACAAGTCACGGTGCCGCGCACTCGTTTGTTTTTGTACACATTGCAAATCGCGTCACGAGAACCGTACCCACAATCTACAACATCTTTACTTTATTATTTTTAGAGGTTATGATCGGGACACATGAAATGCGCACCCGAATTGGGGATTATTTATCACGACTATACCATGGGAACCGTACCCATAGCCGTGATGATTTAATTACGCACTTAAAGCAAGCTACGATGTTCATTAATTATTTTTCTAAAGTTAATTTGAGATTATTGTTAGGCACGGAGTTATGGAAGTAAAATTATGGGGAATATGTTATGAATTTCAATGACACTTGGCCCATGTAGTGATTAAAGAAATGAACGTCTTATATATTTACAATAATTGGGCCAACTAATTTATGAACCGCCAGCAAACTAAATGTAAACGGGGAAGCAATAGCTAGACTCAATAAATTACACTTAAAAGACTCACTCTCTAATATGGCCAATCATCCTTAAATGAAAAGTAAATTCCCCTGCCCACTTAGTGAAACACTTTTATTAATAGCTACTAGTCTCAAACAGAGCTTTCCCCTTTTTTAAAAAAAAAAATCAAAAGCTCATGACCCATCAACACTGATTAATCATTCGCCAAGCTATGCCCATACATTTCTAATCAGAACAATCACAAAATGGAATAAGCCAATGACATTGAACTTTCCACACACAAAAAAAAAACAGAGCAAAAATCAACAAAAAATACTAATTCAAACAACTAAGAAGGCAACGCAGCAAAAATCAAAAGAAAACTAACAAAAAAAAACTATGATATTAGAAGCGAAGACGGTAATGAAAAGGAAGAATGAATCTCAAATGAATCTGAACAACGAGCCTCCAAACCGAATCTTTTGTAGATGAGCATAAATTCTCCGATATACATGAATATCAGTTGGACTCGACCGGAGCTAACGAACAACGACCTCGTATGCAACCTCAAACTCGACTAAAGCTTGTGTTCTAAGAATGTTTTGGGAGCTGATTTTGAGTGTTGAAATGGGAGCTTTACAAGGCTGTGTACGGGGCGGTTTCACATGCCTTTCACGACTGTTTCGAGGCGCGACGCAGCTGTATTTTTTGGGGATTGTTTCAGCTCTGTGTTTTTGGCTGATTTTTGGAGCTAGTTTGGGGTTGTTTGCAGCAGATTTTTGCTGCGTTTTAGGAGGTGAAAGGAGCTGATTTTAGGAGCTAAAAGGTGGCAGATTTAGACTGATTTTCAGCTGCAAAAGGAGCGTGGTTTCACTGGTGTTCATGGCTGGATTTTGGAGGTGATGGAGCAGCGTTTTCAGCTGCTCCGTCTTTTTGGAGTGTTTTTGCAGCTGGTTTGGGAAGGAGAAGTGCTGCATTTTTGCAGCAGCTTTGGAGCTGAAGATTGGTTTTAATCAAGGTGGATTTTGCGGCTATTTGGGGAGCTTTAGGGTGGGAGCTATGTAACTATGGAGTTTTCCATGGTGATTTAGGAAAATAGGAGAGATGGAGTCAAGCTCCTTCGCAGCTTTTTTGGGACCTCCCTCTCTAAAAGAAAGCTGCTCTTAGGGTTCTTTGTAGGCTCCTTTTTTCCTCTTTTGTGTGTGAGTCTTGGGCTCAAAGAACATGGGCTCAGAGTGGAAAGAATTAAGTGGACTCTTTTCTTTTTAACGAATTGGGCCTTGTGCATAGAGGTATTAAAATAAAATTATAGTGCAAAGTGTGTGTTTAAAATTACTACATGCTTAATATTTATTTGTTGAAAGCCTCTAACTTAAAAATTACACTAAATTAGATAAAGATATATTTTTTAAACTTTTCTTTCCTTGTAAATGAAGATAAAACTAATACTCTAAAAGTGTAATTCTTTTTGTAGTTTCTTTTTAATTTTCTTTAAAGAGAAATAAGAGCTAAAATATGTAGACTAAACTTAAAATAAATTTACATAGTAAAAAGTGATAAAAATTTAAATATAGTCAAAAATTAGGTGCTCACACTGCAACCTGCCCTGCCCTATTGAAATTTTATTTAAGTGAAGTTTTGCCCTGCCCCGCCCTATTTAGATGCTCCCCTGCCCTGCCCTGCCCTGCCCTGCCCTGCCCTGCCCCGCCCTATTTAGATGCTCCCCTGCCCTGCCCCGCCCAATTCATCAATATTCATTGAGCTAATGTCTGGTGGTTCCGGTGGTGGCGAAGTGGGTAGGGTAGTCATGGCTAGAGAGAAAAATATTTCCATTCTTTGTTCGTTCTATCCAATTCAAGTTCAAGATTTACGCAATTAAAGAGCTGCATTTTGCAGGATTCTTTTACAACAATATCTAATTGAATTCAAGACAAATCATTACAAATACAAGGGTGATTGCAAATTGTAAGAACCAGAATACTGGTCAGGTGAATTAAAGAGTGTATAGGTGATGAATTAAATAATTTAAATAGAAGGAATCATGGTTGGTAGCGCAGATGTTTTTAATGCAAATGCATGAAGTAAGGAGTTTTTAATGTTTTCCATATTACTGTATCAAGTGAAAATATTTCTTCTAATAGGAGTTTTTTTGTTCGACTAGCATGTGTTAAATTTGTCTAATTAACATAAGTTTAATGTTGCTCAACTCTGAGTAATTACTATCGAAACGTATTTGAGGGGTAAATTTGAACCTTTTCCTAAAGTACTATTTTGACACGTAGTTAAGAACAAATACAAGACGATTTGCTAATGAAAAATATAATAATTACTTAAAATTATGATGGAAGGTAGTTTTAAAAGGGAAACTTATACAAATATCCCATATAACTTTCAACTTACCAACCTCGAGCCATTAGTCATGAACTTACCAAAACTAGCCAAGCATATATAAAAATTAAAAAACCAAATAAATAAGGTTCTTTATCTCAAAGAATCACATGCAAAAATCTCCCTCCATATTTTTAAGCATGATTAGCAACATTAGATGCAAGATGGAAATGAAATTTCATGGATGAGATAGCAAATAAGATAATGAAATACAAAAAAAATATAATATTTCAAAAGTCTAAGCAAAAAAGCAACTTTTTTCAATGGGTATAGTTGAATTTCATTGAAAACATATAGATAAGTTAATATAAAAAATTTGAGGAAGATTGGAGGTGATTTGGACTGATTTTGTATCAAAATTCGTAATTAAATCGAGTTCAAAAAAGTTCTTCTGCGACACATGTATCAAAAATGTATCACAAATGTATCTCACACACAGGTATACATGAATATACATATGATACATAGTTGATACAAATATGATACACAAATGATACACAATGTGACACAATTTTTTTTTTCTTGTTCTAGTTTTACTTCAAATTTTCAATTCAAACCACCACAAAACTTCACCAAATCATCCTAAAACTGATATTCGAACTCTTTAAGATGTATCCAATCTATTCTAATAACACTCACTTAAAAAAAAAAAAAGCAAAAAATTGACCTAATTTTGCTACAAGTAGCTAATTGACTAATATTAGTAATATTTGACTAATATTAATAATATTTCATGAATTGACTAATTTTTGTAATGAGCTACTTAAATAGACATAACCGGTAATTTTCCATTTTAAAAAGGGTGTATGTAACAGTGAAACGCACAATGAAAAGGAGAGTGGATTAGATAAGTATATTATGAGGCTGGGGTTTGCCTAGCAATTTCCCCCCTACCGACAGTGACAATTATACATCATAACTTTTTTCTACATAGCTATGTATATATTACCCCACAAGGACAAAGCTCATGAATGGTCAGGAAAGAGAGAGAGAGGGCAATGACCCTTTGGGCCTGGGGAAGCAGGCATGTGTATCAGTGGGGGACACTTCACTATTATATCATAACAAACTCCCCCCTATGAATTATTGTGCTGAATGACATATCAATGAAAAAAAGATTATTTCAAGAAAGCCAAATATTTTAATAGTAAGTGCTAGCTCCCCCTAACACCTACTCAATTCTTCTTTTTTTTTTACCGGACAACCGGTGCACTAAGCTCATGATATATCGGGGTCTAGAAAAGTGCCGGACCACAAGTATTTATTATTCGCAGCCTTATCCTATATTTTCACAAGAAGTCACCGATTTCACAGCTCGAACCTGGACCTACTAATAACTTGGTAGCACCTTTATCGTTAAGGCAAGGCTCCCTTCGTTCCTCCTTTTTCACTGTTCAACTTTTTTTTAATATAAGGATTGGTAGATTCTTTAGTACTGTATAACTTAAAAATGTAATCTGCAACCAAAAGGGTCCCACTTGGAAGTCACAAGACATATTTTCAAGCCCTTTTAAACCTCAATTTAAGTACAAGAATTTTTAGTTGTTCTAGTTTTATACATATTGTAGCTTCTTCTTCTTCCTCCTCTGTTGTTGAATCATGCCTAAACCTGGTCCAAGACCCTATGAATGTGTTAGAAAAGCTTGGCATAGTGATAGACACCAACCCATCAGAGGTTCCCTTATTCAAGAAATTTTCAGGTATTTTTTTTTCCTTTCCAATCATTTTAATACATCTTCAAAACCATGAGAAGTTGTTTTTATGATTGCTTATGTCTGTTGAGAGTAGGATTGTGAATGAGATACATGGTTCAGCAACTAGGAAGAACAAGGAATGGCAAGAGAAGCTCCCTATAGTTGTCTTGAGAGCTGAGGAAATTTTGTATTCCAAGGCCAATTCTGAGGTTGAGGGTCTCTAATGCTTTTACCAATTTCCCCTTTTTCTTAACTATCTATTTGTGTTATATTCTTACCAATTCTTGTTTGCATAGGCTGAATATATGGATCTTAAAACTCTTTGGGATAGATTGAGTGATGCAATTGACACTATCATTAGAAGAGATGATAGTACTGAATCAGAATCTAGAGACCTCTTGCAACCTTGTATTGAAGGTACCCTTAACCTTCCTTTCCTTTTTATAATTTGTTCTGTGCCAATGATTATCATTTTGCAATGTGACAATATTTCTATTCTAACTTTTCAAGTTCTGTAATTTGTGACTTACTCTCTTTAGAAGTTGAATGGGAGCCTTGGCGTATGTGATTAGGAGGTTACGGGTTCGAGCCGTGGAAACAACCTCTTGCAGAAATGCAGGGTAAGGTTGCGTACAATAGACCCTTGTGGTCCGGCACTTCCTGGACCTTGCGCATAGCGGGAGCTTAGTGCACCACGCTGCCCTTTTTCTCTTTAGAAGTTGGGATTATGGTTCTTGATATAATTGTTTAGTTATGGTTTTGCATAGTGGATGATTTGATTGAAACATATTTTTTGTTGCATGATTGATTAGCTGCTTTGCATTTGGGTTGCTCACCAAAAAGATCATCAAGAAGCCAAAGGAACAGTTCTCCAAGATATTATCTAAGCCCTTTAACTCCAGAGTCTAATTCTGGAAATTCCCATGACAGAAATAGAGGAAATCCTATTCCTAGCAGTCCATTTTTCTCCAAAGATCATAAATTTTTATCGGCTACAGTCAAAAATCCAAACCCTTCTGGCTCAGAAGCTAACAAAATGTTTCCGTTCTCAACTCTGAAATTTCCTCCATCTGTTGGTATACAAACTTTGCCAATGCAGACTGCTCGTGCCTCGCCTAATTCTTGTTCTATGTATCCTTTGTATTACGGTTCTCAAATTGAACCTTCCGGCCACAAGTTTGGCTCTAGACGTGACCCCGAATCAAATGCTATGCTTGTGGATGAGAACAAGAAGTTTGCTCCAAGAAATCCTCAGTCATGTAACTTAAACGCTTCAAACGTAGCTTCTCGGGCAGATTGTGAAGATGTAATTGGGTGTGACTTATCGCTGCGTTTGGGTTCTTTTGTGGTTCCGTGCACTAGTGTTGACAACACTTTGCCTGAGGAGAACAAAGGTGGTGATATATGCAAGTTGAATGATCTAACTCCACAATTCAACAGAGGTTTGTCTTTCTTCTTAAAGGAAAATGTTGATAAAAATCAGCTCGAAACATCTTCAAGAAAAACGAGTTCCAATGGCAAAAATACGAAAGTAGCATCAGTTTTGGAAAAGCGAAAACTCGTTGAGGATCAGCAGGTTTATTGGCCGGTGAAGCTCCCTTTTAACAAGTTCAGGTCATAGGTTATTAACTTTAGTTTCAGTAGTTACTTTGACATATTTTGGAATAGGAAAGTGATAGTCTGTGTCTTGTAGTCTCCTAGCTGTAGTTTTGCATTTGCTTTGATGAGGTTTGTTTGTAAGTTTGTATGCTGCAAACTGCTCCTTTTTGAAGTGTTTAAATTCAATGAGTTCCAAATCCTTGAAGAAAAATCCAATGCTACTTTCTTTGTCCACTTGACTTTTACATTCAAGATCCATCGCCAGAAAAGGGCAGCTCGGTGTATTAAGCTCCCGCTATGCAGGATTGGACCACAAGGGTTTATTGCCTTACCCTGCATTTCTGCAAGAGGTTATTTTCACGGCTTGAACCCGTGACCTCCTAGTCACATGACAACAACTTTACCAGTTACGCCAAGACTCTCCTTCTCAAGATCCACGACTAAAATGATCCAAAAATTAGACCACACTATAAATTGTAGCAGTAATGATGTAGTGGGAGTCAGGATGAAGTGATTGATAAAGAAGGTCTTGTTACTTTTGAAGTGAAATGAAGGGTCTTTTTCAGAAAAGTGCCACTTTTGAAGTTTTGATATCAATGAATTCCAAAATCCATGTAGAAAGATCAAGTGCTACTTTCTTTGTGAACAAGGCTGTTTCTCTGCTCTTAATCTTCATATGGTATATCTGTACTTTAAAAGAGAGGTGGGTGGGGGCTGGGAAGGAGGCATCTGCTTGTGATTCTTGCATAAACCCCACTTGAATTGTACATTCAAGATCCATCAACAAAGCCAAATGGTCCCAAAATAAAAAGATAAGACCACACTATACATACACTGTAGAAGTAATGAAAGTAGGGTGTGAGGGATGAAATTATGGACAGGGACCTTGTTGCTTTCCAACTGAAGTGAAGGATCATTTCACAAGATCTGGTTACTGAAATGGGGATAACTGGACCCCCTTCTACTAGTATTTTCTTTCTGTACACCCGATGTTTACGCGAAACCAATTAGTGCTAAACATAGTGCAACCATTTATTAGGTTAAGCGAATGTATTTTCACTTTAGTTATTTACTAGTAAGGTTAAATTGCTTGATTACGTGTTAACACATAGTGTAAGGGGTCATTTTGTTGGGAAACAAGTTATCCCAGGATTAATTATCTCGGGTTTAGTTATCCCATAAAAATAACACTATATTCCCGGGATTGGTTATTTTTATCCCAACCAAATGTGGATAAACTCGTTTCAAATTTTATTTTGGGATTCATTATCCCTTATCCTTCGTACCAAACGAGTGATAAGTATTTATCTTTCTCTTTTTCTTGTGTGTTTGTGTGTGTTTTCCTTTTCTAAAAAACCAAAGTGCTGGAAATGATGTTAGTGAAAGGACTGCAGTTTTGCACATGACCTATTTTTTTTTTTTTTTACTTCTATTGCATGAGTTGAGTGAGTGATTTTCACACTTTATATACCATGATTGCATATCTGATGCTTTCTTGATTCGAAAGCCACTATGACACAGGCAGATTTTTGCCATCTTTTTCAAGAAAAAGGGGCCGTGTAGTGGTGACATGAGTCATAGAGTACATTGATATTAAAGTTTTGTACATAAAGTTAACATTTATTCAAATGCATTTACCATCATAATTAATAATTGAAAGAAATTTTCTGTTCAAATGAGGTTTCTATTCTGCCTAAACTTAGAGATAGATTTTACGGATATTGAGCTTGGAATGTTCATGCTACAAATCTTTTCAATACCACTATTTTGTGTATAGATCCATGATCTATAACGTTTTATAGAGATGAGTATATAAGCTGATAACGTGAAAAACTTTTATAGTATTAGTGCAATTAATCGCTTGTAGCAATTTATTACTCCCTCCGGTCTAAAATAAGTAATTTTTTAGTTGTTTTCACACAGATTAAGAAACTCAACTTTTAACATTAATTAGCATTGAAATTGACCATATTAACCTTTACTATCTCTTCACATAAATACTCCTAACACACACTCTAACACTATTTACTCCAAGGGCAATGTAGGAAAACAATAATTAATTTATTTTTGAAATCTGAAAAAATCACTTATTTTGGACCACAAAAAAAGGGCAAAAAAATCACTTATTTTGGACCGGAGGGAGTACCTTTTTTTCCCAGGTTATCATATAATTCTTGATTAAAACAAAAGTGAGATTAACATTCACGAAGGGGAGCCTTGGAGGGTGGAGCAACGGTGAAGTTGTCTTCGAGTGACCTATAGATTACATATTCGAGTTGGGAATTATGCTTGCATCAAGGTAGGTTGTCTACGTCACAACCCTTAGGGTGCGACCTTTTCTAGACCCTACTTAGATGCGGAATGCTTCGTGCACTGGGGGATTTGCTGCGGTACCCACTTTTTATGCCACCTTTTAACCTATACCCTGTTTTTAAAAATTATTGATTTCGTAACCAACTAACAGAAAATCCGTGTTAATATGACCATTATACCCCTTCCAAAACATATAAAAGTGCGTCTCTCCTCCGTATTCACATATTCAAATTACAGATCTCCTTCGTATCTCCTCCATCAGTCAGTTCCTCCTGAGAACGCGTCTCGTATTCAAATTCCATATTCAAATTCAAATTCAAATACATTGTAAGTATTCAAATTCATCTCCAGAATTCAAAATAGTTTTTGAATTTTATGTTTTCTGGTTGTTTGACGAATTTCAGTGAAGGAATATAAATTCCATATTCAAATCAAATTCATCTCCAGAATTCAAAATGTTTTCTGATTAATTCACTGAATTCTAATTTAATGTGTGATATGTTAGTAACATATTGCACTAAAAAAACTTCGGCCTAACAGCTGAAGTTTTTTATTTATTACTTAAAAACTTCAGAAGGAGCCTGAAATTTTACTCCTACACTGGTTAAATTAAAAAATGATATTGCACTAAAAAAACTTCGGCCAAGCAGCTGAAGGTTTTTGTTATTACTCAAAAACTTCAGCAGGAGGCTGAAGTTTTCCTCCTGCTGCTGAAGTTTTTCCTCCTACACTAGCTAAACTAAAAAATCATATTGCACTAAAAAAACTTTGAAGCAGCTGAAGTTTTTTTGTTATTACTAAAAAAACTTCGAATAGTTCGTTTCCTCTGCTATTTTTCGAATTTAAATAGAATAAATATTAAAAGAAACGCAAAAAAAACAACAAAAACTTAATATTTCATTAAAATATAATAAAATATAAAAACAAATTACATAAATAAACAAAACAAAAAAAATTAATCGTCCATTCCATCATCATTATCATCATCATCGTTGTCGCTTCCAGATGGACGAGCATCTTCATCAGCAAGATTGTCAAATCTTGCATACATCACAAGCGTATCAAGCTTGTTCTTAATTTCTTTGAGCTCCTTGTCATACTTTTCTATCAGCTCATCAATCTTCAACTCAAATGCCTCCATTATGTCTTGCTTGATCTCGTCCACTATTTGCCTAATGACAGCATCCATTTTTCTCCTTTTTGTATTTTATATCTGCTAAAATGTATGTGTTTGAGTGAATAAACTCAGAAGGAATAGCGTGCTTATATAGGGAAAAAAAACTTTTGCATGGTATATGAAAAGGCAAAAAGGAATTTTAAAGGTTGTCTAATGAAAAGCGTGCATGAATATGATAGGAATGTATTTATTATACTAACACATACCCCCAAACGCAGTATAATTACTACTTTAATTGTGTAGGTTAATGATGTATACTATGTAATTAATGCTGAAACATGCTATCGTTTTCTGTAAAAAACTTCGGATTAATCTCCTGAAGTTTTTTAGTTCATTTCTAAAATCTTCAGCACGTACCAGCTGAAGTTGTTTCCTCTGCATTTATGAATCACCATGATAAAAAAAACTTCAGCTAATATGCTGAAGTTATTAAGGTTATCTCTAAAAACTTTAGCAGTTATAAGCTGAAGTTTTATTTGCAGAATTCATTAATTATGTCATAGATCTTTTTCCAAAAAAAACTTCAGCAGAAGATGCCTAAGTGATTCAGTTTATTTGTAAAACCTTCAGCACATACAACATAAAAATTCTTCAGTTCACTTTCCTAATAGTTGCCACTAAACATGAATCTGCAGGATGAGTTCGATTTGCGTTGTTATAACATTCAATGGGAGATGGACTCCTGATTTCAAATACTTGGATCATGATACAAAACTTGTTCTACTTAATAAGGAGATATCATTCAATACTTTCCTGAAGAAAATTAGTGAAGTTGCAAATATAGATTCAACCAGATATGCATTAAAAGTATGGTTTGATATCAAACTAAATACAAGCAAAGGAATGCTTGTAACTTCAGATGAAGAACTCACTACCTGTATACATTTGCTTACAACTGATTCACCCT